CTGTCTGCACTTTAATTTTCAGCTCGAAGACGTGACGTCCATTTGTCAAAAGAACAGGAGAGCCGCCTTCCCTCTCACTGGCTGAAGAGTAAAGGGGCCCACACCACCATGGCAGATGCTCTCTGGCGTCTTCGTGATTTGATGCTCCGAGACACCCTCAACATTCGCCAAGCATACAATCTAGAAAACCTTTAATCACATCAATTACGTTTCTTTTATAGAAGCATAAAGAATTTTGTGGAACAGTAGCCATTTTAGTTACTGGGGGTGGGGGGGAGGAACAGAGGATGATAATTTTTATTGAATTTTACTGTACATCACAAGGCCATTTTTATATAAGGACACTTTTAATAAGCTATTTCAATTTGTTTTTGTTATATTAAGTTGACTTTATCAAATACACACAGATTTTTTTGCATATGTTTCCTTCGTTTAAAACCAGTTTCATAATTGGTTGTATATGTAGACTTGGAGTTTTATCTTTTTACTTGTTGCCATGGAACTGAAACCCTCAAAGGTTTTGTCTTGGCTTGGGTTTTGTTTTTTGTTTTTTGGGTTTTATATATATATATGCATATATATTTATATATATATGCATATATATATATATATGTGGAAAAAACAAAATGAAAAAAAAAAAATACACACACACAAGAGTTTACAGATTAGTTTAAGTTGACAATGAAATGTGAAGCTGGTCCTAGTTTACATCTTAGAGAGGGAGTGTACTTGTGTCTGTTTCATGTGCCTGAATATCTTAAGCCACTTTCACAAATGCTGTTTCTTACAGATGCAGTGAAAGTTCAGTTCACTTGAAAGGTTGTTGTTTAGGTTATAGATGTTTGGCAGACAGGGCATGTTTGCTGTATTGCACTCGCTACAGAAATCTGATGTGTGCTGTGCATCCGTCTGCAGCTAGTGCTCTTCCCGGACAACTGGAGGGAGAGAGCACCTTTTCTTTTGCTGAGTTAGACCTCTCTGGTGTCAGTTATTTTTACAGAACATGTGCACAGCCCTGAATTATATTTAGTCTTGGCAGGTAAGTGTAAGGGTACTTTTGATCTATTTATAATGAATTCACAATTTATGCCTATATGTTACATGATTTAAAATTTTAAATCTCTTACATTGAAAAATGAAGTTCATCTTGAAGAAAACTGAAGTATGCTGTGCATGGAGATGATTTTGTTTTAAACATAACACCTAACCTAACATAGGGAAGGGAGTTTATATCTGGATATGAACTATGTCAGAAGCATAATTGTGAAAGGGTAGATTACCTGCATATGCAAATATGTTTTACTATTCTTCATTTCTTCTTTATCAGATATGGCTTTTTTTTTTCTTTTAAGATTCAAGGTTGTTAATTCTCAACCAGAAATTTAAAACTTTCTAAAATATTTCTAAAATTTAGCTTGTGCTTTTGAATTTCAGGAGAAACGAATCATAATTTAAGAAAATGCTCACTGAAGAGACCATTATAAATCCCAAATAGTTGGGTTTGATGACCCTTATCTCTTTTATATAACCCTAAAATAAACATTTGGAAGCAGTGTATGATACTTAGACAGGTAGAAAGTATCAAACATGCATAGTAGTATTTCACTCTGCTTTGAAACCTGCTTTACTGTGACAAAGTGATTTCCATTGTGGTGGAGCTCCCACTGCTGTTTGTAAATGGAGAGGACTCTCAGAGGGTACTGTTTTCCTTTTAATCTGGTATGAATCAATACCTAGATATTTAATTACCATTCTTACTAAATCATGAGGACAAAAGAGAGTGTAGAATGGAATAAAGTCTTCTGTATCTAGATGCTTTAAGTACAGGAGGCCCTTGTAACATAATTGCCTATAGTCAACCACTGGATCTCAATTTGTATCAAGTATTTTAAATCTGAATTTTAAAAGATGTATTGCAGTAGTATGTCAGTACCTTATTATTAAACTGAATCAGATAAATAAATCTTCAGTTCCTGGTTATTTGGGCCAATCATCGTGGACTGTATAATACAATCAGATTATATTATTTCTAGACATCCTTGAATTACACCAAAGAACCTGAAATTTAATTTTGGTTAAGTTATTTATTTATTTCATGTATTCATTTTATTTCCCTTTTTAAGGTCTGGATGAGACTTCTTTGGGAAGCTTCTAAAAACTCTTCACGATAGGCTATGTGGGGCATTAGAAGCCAGAACACTCCTTCTTAGGGGCTTCTTCCCAGTGTCTAGAGGTACTGTAGGAACCATAAATCTAGCCAGGGTCTTCCCTAAGGCAGTGCATAGCCGGGCCAGGGGGCCACTAGGCAGGCTCTAATTACATTTTTTAAAGAATAACTATGTATTTATTTTAAAATCATGTTTTTCTGTTCATTAACTTGGAGAATATCAGTTAATATTTAGGATATGAAATTTGAGGTCAGCCATCTCCCAAAAAAAGAAAAAAAGTCCTGACAAGAAAATACAAGTAAACTATACATCTTTTTTGCTTTTCATGAGTTTTAGGAACTATAAGTAATAGGGCTTACAAAGTATAATAGTCTACGTGTTTTCAAAATATAAGTTCACGTGGAAAAGAATTTTGTTTATGTGTTGGGGAGGAAACCCTATAGGTTTAAAATAGTATGCCAGCCAACTGATTTAAAAGGCCTTGAATTATTTTGTTTTTGAACCCACCCTTCTTTTCCTGAGGAATAATTGAGAGGGGTATTTGTTTGTGTAAAATCTCCAAATTGGTGGTGTTGACTTTTGAGCTTGAACATTTTCAGATCTGATTAAAACTTGGTTTATTATTATTTCTGTATCAAAAGAGGTTTAAGTGGTAATTAGTCTTATAACATGTATGTATCATATGTTTGTTCTTCTACAGCTTTTTAATTCAAATAAAAATGGAGTTTGCAAAGTGATTTGGATTAACCAGGTTTGGTTGTTCTGTTAAGCTTGTGTCTAATGTTAGTTTCAAGTAAATTTAATTCCTACAAACCTTGATTTTTTATGCTGACAGGGATACAACTGCCAATTGAAGGGAAGAGAGCTGGAGGTGGAGGTGAAAACTAGTGCCCAGGTTCTGGTTCAGGGCTAAGGCTACATTAACATGGAAGGGGAATGTAGTCAAGACTATAGCCCAGTGTGCCCTTCGCCACATCTCTCAGGCTGGCAGTCAAAGAATTCCAAACATGTCCTCAGTATGGGCAGACATACAAGTTGAAGTTAAAATGAAGAGTTACTAAAGGCAAAAGGTAAGGTAAGCATATCCTCTCTCATACGGCATTTTAACTCATTTCAGATAGTCAACTGTCTGTAGCCAGAAGAAACAAGTGGCCCAGGATTGTCTCTGACATGCTTATGAGCTCTTAAAACTTGACCACACTTTTAATAGAAAGTGTTGGTAAAATCAACCAACTGTTTTCCTCTATATCACTTTGCAAATCCCTGTGGTTCTGTTCTCCTAAGAGTTTAAGGCTATCATGCCATCTGCACTCGAGCATATTTTGAGATACTGACATATAAATCCTCCAGCAGAACATAATAAGCAAACACATGCTAAGTATTACTCTTTTGTTTTTAGGTTGGAAATGTGGTAGGTCAGCTGAGTGAAAGTTCTGAAGTTGACAAATTGATAAACTATTTCTAGCCCCAAGGTGTAGTAGTTGTCTTATAAGACATCTTATAAAAGATTCTTGCCACATAACAAATATGGCAAGAAATTCCTATTTTGATATGCTTGTGTGAAGACTAAGGGTTGATACTGCTTTAATAGGAAAATATGGTCAAGTGTGTATGTTTTTTTAAAAGAGGTTAACTCCATATGAAAAACTCACAAAAAGATTAGCATGACTAAGTTTTAACATTAAAAATTTAGGTAAGGCCACCCTGGTGGCGTAGCGGGTTGAACACATCGCTGTGAAACTGTCCGCAGCCCCTGCAGTGCAGGTTTGATTCCTGGCTGGCCAGGAAGATTCCCACATGGTGTGGCAGAACTCTCCTGTCACGCCCACTGCTCCCCTCAGCAGTGCTTTCGGTCTGTTTGTTTGTTCTGCTCCCCACTCTGTCTCTGGTGAATCCTCTCACCCTCCCGCACCTCTGGCCTGTACCCCAGCTATTGTATAAATAAAAAATAAAATAAAATTTATTTTAAAAAATAAAATTAGGTAAGACTTCCAAATCAGACTGCTCGATGAACAAGATAGCAGTCCTCAGTTACCTATGTGCTTAATTTAGGTACTTTCTGTATTGGTTCAGATGATAAACATGAAGCTCCAAAGTCCACAGTCTTTCCCCAGCACTACAGTGTGGATTTCTAGCAATTGATGCTAATTATATTTTTGTCATTCTAGAGTATATACTGTGGTGTGTTTAAATTTTGGGTTATTAATTTTTTTGCCTTATCTTGCCACACTAAGGTGCACTGTAGTCTGTAAGCAGCATATAAAATGATTACAGTTCTTTTCACTTTCAATTAAGTTCCCTTTAGTAGTCCAAATATCTGATTAAGGCAGTCATATTCTTTAATAGATTAAAAAAAATTTTGAGGCTGGGGCCTCCCTGGTGGTGCAGGGGTTAGAGCCTCAGCACTATCAAGGTATCACCAGCTACTGCAACATCAGTTCCATCCCCATCCCCAGCCAGGGAGCTGACCCAAATGGTGCACAGACCTCTCCTGTCTCACCCGCTGCTCCCCTCAGCAGGGTTTTTCAGTAGATCGCCTGTTCTGCTCCCCATTGTCTGTGGTGCATCCTCTCACTCCCCACACCTCTGGCTTACACTTTAGTTCTTGTATGCATAAATCTTCAAAAAAAAAAAAAATTTCTTTTGGAAGCAAAGTTGTTTTTTTTTTTTTAAAGATTTATTTATTTGTGCATACAAGAGCTGGGGTACAGGCAGAGATGAGGTGAGAGGATTCACCAGAGACAGAGTGGGGAACAGAACAGGCAGACTGACTGAAACACACTGCTGAGGGGAGCAGCAGGTGAGACAGGAGAGGTCTGCTGCACCATGTGGGTTGTTTCCTAGCCGGCCGGGGATGGAACTTGTGCTGCAGAGGCTGCGATTGTGGAAGCAAAGTTTAAAAGCCTGCACCTTAGATGAATTTCTTACTCTGTCATCCATACTAACATGCTCTGTAAGTGTCTTCCATTTTAATACAATCTCTTTGGTATTCTGCTTGCATAAAATCGGGCATTGGCCCATCATCTTCAAAGATTGCCCTTCAATAAATAAGGATTCAAATGTTGTTTTTTTTTTAACCAAAAAGGAAAAAACTCGGGAAGAATTGACACAAAATTTAGGATAGTGATTCTCCTCAGTGGAGGCAGCAAGGTAGGCTAGGGAAGGAACCCACAGCAGACACAGATTTCCTGATGGTTTTTTAGTGTTCACTACTATTTTTTGTAAAAGGTGTGTTACATATTTTCTGTATCAAGTATTTGTAAAACTTGAAGGAAAACATGGAATAAGGCCATATAATTGAGACTCATACAATTTTAGTTTCTTCTGTAGCCATCTAATCACTAAAATTTTGCCTGTGAAGTTAGGTTTACCAGGAACTCTTTTAAGTGACACAAGTGCTGTTAGCCATCTCTGGTCTTCAAACTCAAGTCATCTCTCTGTGATGGCTGTAGAGTTTGCTTTAATGAGATGTGAATACTCATCAGTAGGTCTTTATTTAGACTGTAAGGGTTCTAAAATAAATGGACTTAGAAAAATATTCCTAGAAAATTTTAGGAAGAGACCATTAACTTGAGGATAACTTGTGGCCTTAAGTACCTTTTGCTTTATTCGTGAGCAATAGTTAGAAACTATTTTGAAGTGTAGTCTTCTTTAATATAGATACCTTCTTGTTTGAAATGATGTTGGATATGGTTAATGTAAACATGGAAAGATGCCTTTTCTTTTTCTACCAAGTGTCCCAAAGTTATTTTGGGTCAAATTGTAAAATCTCTCCAGTAGCTGAGCCTCTGATTTAGCTGATTGCTGTACGCTGTAAAGTTCACTTTCTTATGGAAGGAGCAGTATTTTTATCTTTAGCAGCAAGATGAAAGCAACATCATCACAGAGCGGTATGAAGCCTGATGTCCCCTAGTCCTCATGGAGGTCCAGCCCTTGTATGTTACTGGAGCCAGGCAAGGGAAGAGTTAATTTTGTTCACAAGAGCACTTAACGTAAGTAATGTGTGGTCAGTCAGAAACTCCCACCACCCTAACAAAATGTTTACAACTTAGTAGCTGGCAGATGTGTAATTAGCATAATTATCCTGATTTAAATTGTCTTGTAGTAAAGATCTTTTATGTCACCATTAAATCTGAATTCTGCAAAAAAGTGGATCAGGTATCATTTGTGGCCTAAAAACAAAGAAGTTCACAAACAATTGAAACTGCACTGAAAAGCAACTGATTGATCCTTCAATTTGTTAAACTATATTTCACAGACTAGTTTCATTGGGCAGATGTGTTCTAGGAGGAAATAATTTTCACTCAAGTGCTGTCCACAAATAACTTGGGAAGTATTCAAGCAGAGAGAAAAACTGAAAAATTCTTTGTAAAGGCAGTTGTGTATAAGAACAAGAAATCTGTAAAGTACATTCTTAATGGAGTTGAAACCAGTAGTAAAATTTAATAGTTACTTTATTGACTGCTGAAGTTCAGTCTCTGATGCATCTTCCAGCCTTTTCTGATATTGTCTCTCTGAGGCTTTTCTACGGTAGACATCATCTGTATCAAACAAAAAAATAATCTTAAGAGAAAAATAGATCTGAGTAATGTAACCAATAATCTGTCGCCTATTTCTGAATCTAAACATTAATGTTCAACTCAATACCAAAATAAACTTAATTTAAAACAAAAGTTAAATGAGGACTGTGTTAAGAGTTCGGAACTTCAACAGCAGGGTAAGAATTGCTGTCTTCAAAGATAGGATCATGTCCTACCATGCATCTTGGCAATGTTTTAAGATCTCCCTCACTTCCCTTTCCCCCCCACAATTCCTATTCTGCCCTCTGAAAGTATAACATTCTGCTCTGACCACATCTTCTACTACCTTCCTAACCCTCCTGTCCTTGGACCTCCTCCAATTTCCCCATATCTTTGGAACCTGAATTCCCTCCAGCTCCTTCTTGTTCTTTCTGCCCAAACCAGCTGAAGTTGCCTCTCCTGTCAATATCAGCGTCTTGACAAAACCCCAAGGAGTAATCCACCTTCCTTCATGCCTCACCCTGCCTGCTTTGCACTGCAGGGTCAACTGATGCATCTACCTATGTCTGGTTTCTTCAGTCATCACCCTGACTGCTCACCCAACCACAGATGGACATGAACTATTCTTCACAGAAAAGCATCAACAGTAAAGAATTCTTCATGAATTCCCACCTTCTCAAGGTCTACGGTATCTCCAGCCTCTTGTCACCCCACCTTCGCTGATTAGTATCAACATTATCTTCAAGTGGGGAGATGGAGGGCTTATTTTTCCTTCAGAGTCAAACTTACAAACCTGCTATCTTCTGTGATAACCCTCCTGATTTCCCTCCTTGCTGCTCTCAGCCACCCTGGGGCTTGACTCTTTCATCACAATCTGCTTGTTCCCCCTGCCTCAGCTGTGCTACCAGAGCCTCTACTCACTCCTAAGTCCAAACACCAAGCTCTATTAGTACTACCTCTGGAGTGTCCCTCTCTGCCTTCTTGGCATCTTTGATGTCCCCACCCTAGGCCATGCCACCATCTCAAATCTGGACAGTCACACAGGCTTAGTTCCTGCCATTCTCCACATGTTAATTCACTGGCACTTAAAACCCTTCAATCCTCTGAAATACATTCTTGGTTCTCCAGTCCTTTTGTGGTCCTGCCCAGGTACCTTTCTAACCACTTTACCTCTCCCTCTGCTTACTTGCTTCAGTCCCTCAAACATGATTTCACACCTTGTCTGCCCTTACCACTAGGGTATGTTGTAAACGTTTCATTTGGCTGACACCTACTCAATCTCAGGTCCTATGTGACACAATTTCTCCTGGAAGTCTGTACCAGCTAGTCCAACCAAGGCATTCCAACACAAATTCCTTTGCTTTTTTTCCTGCCCGCCCCCCTCCCCACATACACTTTCCTTTCAGAACATGACCACACATAGGAATTGTCTTTATGACTCTCCTCCCATTATCCCATTAGAGCTCTTTTGGTGTTGAGGCTCCCTTGCCTTGCTTCTTATATCCTCTATTAGTGCTTACTAAATAGTGATGAATGAATGGATGAACAGAGCTAAATAGTTTAGAAAGTACTAACAACTTTTTTAATGAGGGTTGGCAATTCCACCCTCAGTTATACCTGTTTCAGAAGGACAAAGCAGAAAGGAGCTAGGGGTTGGGAAGTCTTCCTAGAAGAAGAGGAACTAGCCTATACTGAGCTGCTCCTCACAAAGTAATGCCAAACTTCACAGTGCTGGGTTCTGCTGCTAATGACTGCCCTGTAAAGACAGTGGTAATAAGCTACGCCAAGCAGACCAAGTTCCCTATAGGGTTTGGACTTAAGAATCCAGAATACTGGGCCTCCTGGTGGCGCAGGGGTTAGACAGTGCTATCAACCTCTCTCCAGCCACAGGTGGCACGAGTTCGATCCCCCGCTGGCCAGGGAGCAACCCACATGGCGCTGCAGACCTCTCCTGTCTTGGCTACTACCCTCAGCAGTGTATTTCAGTACATCTGCCTGTTCTGCTCCCCAATCTCTGGTGAATATTCTCAACACCCCCGCACCTCCGGCTTACACCCCAGCTCTTGTATACATAAATAAATCTTTTTTTTTTTAAAGGCATGTATTATTTATTTATTTGTTTGTTTATACATTCACTGGGTACAGTCAGAAGCGCGGGAGGGTGAGAGAATTCACCAGAGCCAGAGCGGGGAGCAGAGCAGGCAGAAGGACCGAAGCACACTGCTGAGGGGAGCAGCGGGCGGCAGGGGAGGTCTGCGCGCCATGCGGGACCCTCCTCCGGTGGCCGGGGAGCAGCCGGGGATCGAACCGGCGCCGCAGAGGCTGCGGGCAGCTTCGCAACCCAGCGCTCAACCGCTGCGCCACCGGGGAGGCCCCATAAACAAATCTTAAAGAAAAAATTCAGACTACTGTCCGGTTAGCAGAAGTGTACATGAATCCTTAGGACCCCACCCACTTCTATGCTCTGTTCCGTAGGCGAAACCACTGTCAGAGGCAAGACGCAGGGCTGCACCAATGGAGGTCACCCTAAATGGGGTCACGTGCCCTTCTAAGTGCAAAGGTTTCAGGTTGAGCACCAATGTGCCTATATGTCGCCCCATTTACAGGAGAGCAGGGAGCAAGCGTTTCAGTGAAATGGAACTGCACTTGCCCTTCTGACCAAAGTAAAAGCAGCGCTGGGCTGGGCTGAGCTGTCCTGGATCGTAAAAAAATAGCCCACAGAGAATTGGGTCCCTCCCCGCCTCAGGCCTTCCTGAAAAGAAACGGAGACCGCTGCACCCTCACACACGCACACCCTCACTTACAGAAGGTCTCCTGGCCCACGCGCACTTTAATCATGATCCACTCCATCATTCCTCCCAGGACAAAGAAGAAGGGCAGGAACCTGTAGACGCCAAGTCGCTGCTTCCCGGGCACCCGCTGCAGAACCCGCCTCACCTGGGCCCTGGAAAACATGCTCGTGGAGAAGGGGCGCGGTGTAAGAGGGGCGGCGGGAGTTGCCACAGCCCCTAGACTGGCGAGCCTGGGTAATGCCGGTCCCTGCCGCGTTGGGCAGCAGGGGCGCCGCGGGACCCCGGGCCTGCGCCTCCGCCGGGCGGGTGGAGCGTGGGGAGCGCCCCGGCGGCTGCACCAATCGGGGCGCGGCGGAGTGCGCGTGCTCCGCCAGCCCCGCCAGCCCCGCCCGGGAGCCGGCGCAGGCGTCTGGGCCCTGGAGGCGGCGCGGCCCCCGGAGGCGGGGCCTCCACGTGGCCACCGTCCTGCCCGGGCTCCCCAGACCCCCGCCTCCGGGCAGCAGCCGAGGGCCGGAGTTGTGCGCCGCGCCCTTTCCACTGCCACCGCCATCTTTTTCCTAAAGGTCTGATGGAAACAGCGACCCTCTGGTGGACGGAACGTGAGTGCATTGTCTCTACTCCGGGGTCGTGAATGGCGGCGTTTCTGAAAATAACTGAATTTGATAGGCATTTGGCATTGCTGAAAGCTGAGCTTTATCATTACCGCAACAAAAGTCGAAACAAGTATTTGTGACAAACAACCCTAAAATTAATAAAAACCGTCCCAGTATGGGCCACGTACAGAGACTTGTAGGTGCTTTTTATGCATCATCTTACAATACCGCAGAAGGGGAGGATAAAGTGCTTGGGCTCCGCTCTGTCGTCAAACCACATCCCTGCTCCCCACAGGTTGCTGTGTGGTCTGTGCTTCAATTCCCTATTTCACAAAATGGAGACTTTTGGGGGGGGAGTGTGAGGATTTAGTGAGATAACGCCCAAAAAGCACTTAATATTGCTTTCAGCAGAGCAACTAATCAATTAACAGAAGCTATAATAATGATGATGATAATGATCTATTGTGTCCTAACTTTTTAGGTTTTCCTCAACCTAAGAACCTTGCCTTGATTTTTAAAGATTTATTTATACATACAAGAGTTGGGGTACAGGCCAGAGGCATGGGGGTGAGAGGATTCACCAGAGACAGAGCCGGGGAGCAGAACAGGCAGACTGACTGAAACACACTGCTGAGGGGAGCAGCCGGTGAGACAGGAGAGGTCTGCTGGGCCATGTGGGTTGTTCCCAGCTGGGGCTGCTGGTTGCTTCATAGGTTGCGTCTTAACCCCTTGTGCCACCAGGGAGGCCCGCCTTCATTTTTATGATCTCTTTTTATAGACTGGGACCTGCGAAGTTAAGAAATTAAGCAGCATACTGACTCCAAGGATTTCACCCTCTGAGTTGCCCTGATTGCTGAAGATGTCTGTAAGGAGTTGTCACCTCATACCTAAAAAAAACAGGGGAACAGCCTTGAAAAGGTACATCACTATTACACAATCCAAAAAAGCCAAATGAAAAACTTAAAGCCAAGAGTATGCTAATGTGAACACATGTACACAACCAAGCTAGAGAAGAGAAAAAGCACGCAGGATCCTGGAGGGTCTGTAGCGAGGTTTGCCCGAGCCGGGTCAGAGCAGCCATCTGGGCAACCTGCCTTCTGGCCCAACCCCATCCAGCGCGCACCTGCCTGGCTTCATTCTCATTTCTACTCGTGGCTCTGAGGACCAGAATTCGCAGAGTGCCCAACTTCCACCCAGAAGAGTCTTGCCTAAGTGTCGCTAGCGCCCCAATGTCAACCGTCACTGAGGCTCTGGGGTGCACAATACTTCTCCTTCCTACCCCATCCACCCCCCCTATACACGGGGCCCACCCTTCAGCCTCCATCCTGCACCAGCACCTGGCCCAGGCTCGGGTACACGGTAGGCCTTCAGCCCAGGTGCAGTGAATGTACCTCCATCCCTAAGCCCAGTGCATCCCCGTGGGGGCCCAGCTTCCCATCGACAGGGCCCGCGGTGCAGGGTCGACCTCCTCAGGACCCAGTGCACGGGCTGGTAAACGGACAGACTCAAAAAGGGTCTGAGTAGAAGAAACGCAGATGAAGAGTGGTTCCGAGTAGGAAGGAGTTTCCGTTGCAAAGTCTGGCGTCTTTCCTAGAAGGGACGGCGGCCTCTCAGGGGGTCTGCGCGGGGAGTGGGGCGGGTGGGCGCGGCCACTTACCGAGGCAGACCCCGGCAGGCGCAGTGACCCCGGGGCCTTAACACGCAGGGCCCGCCGCCCCGCGCGAGTTAAGAGGGATCACCTGTGCGAGGTCTTCCCCGTCCCGCCGAGCTAACTGGGATCACCTGTGTGAGGGGGCGGGCGGGGGCTGCCTCAGCGGAAGTCGGCCGCCCGGAGTGTCGGGGTCTCAGGGTGGGGCGGGCGCCGGGGAACGCGCGGGAAGGGCCCGAATTACTCGCTCAGCGAGTGGAGCGGACCGGGCTCTGCTCCGCGGGCAGCGGGCGGTCAGGACGGGGGTGGGGGGGGGCTGGACCCCGCAGAGAACGGGGGAGGGGCAAGGGCCTGGCCAAGGCGGAGGAAGGGGCGGGAGCGGAGACGACCCCGGGGTCGGGGTGGCCCCGCCACCCTGCGGCGCTCTCCTCCCCGCGCCCCGGCCGTCCGGAGCCTCGCGGCCGCGGCCGCTCCGAGGCCCTTCGACCTCCCGGGAGGGAAACGGTAAGAGCCGCCATCGCCGCGGAGGCGACCGGAGGGGGGCGCCGAGTCCTCCCTCGAGCGCGCCGGGGACGGGGGAAGGGGCCCGCCCCGCCCCGTCCCGGGACCTCCCGCCCCCGGGCCGAGGGGCGCGCCCATTGGCGGGCGGGCTGCTCGCGCCGCGCCCATTGGCCCGCTGCGGTGAGGGGCACGCGGCCACCGTGGCGGGCGCGCAGTCGGAGGGCGCCTGGCGGGCCGGCGGGCCGAGGGCTGCAGGGGCAGCGCGCGGCGGGCATGGCGGGTGCGGGCTTGCGGGCGGCCGCTCGGCGCTGGTTGCCGTGCGGAGGCCACGGAGGGCCGCGAGCCGCCTCGTCCTCACCCTCCTGCCCTGGCTGCGGCCCCCCGGGTCCCGGCGTCCACTGCCCGGGCGCTCCCCGCTCGGCGCCCTCCCCGGCGTCCGCTGGCGGCGCCGAGCCCAGCGCGCACCTGTGGGCTCGCTACCAGGACATGCGGAGACTGGTGCACGGTGGGTGAGCCGAAGTGGGGCGAGCGCCGCGGGGGTGTGCCCCGCTTCGAGGCAGACGCGTGCCGGGGCGACGAAGGGACCGACGGAACGCGCGGGCACCGCTCGCGAGGCGTCTGGGGCGCCGCTCTCCGGGGAAAGCGCCGGGACAGGGCTTGCCTGGGCCCGGGGGTCGTCCAGGGCCTCTGGGGATGCCCCGGCTCCCGACGGAGGGTGGGCGGGAGTTTTGCTCCGCGGCCGCGTCTGCAGGCGCTGCGGGTTCCTGAAGCGGCTAAGGGAATGCGAGCGCCCCCGCCTCCTTTCCTCTGGGTCCCGCCCGCCGTGAGGCCTCGGCGGAAACGCCCCCAACCCCTTGTTCTCCTGGGGACCTTTAGCTGGGGCGGGAGGACCGGAGACAAAGCCCGCCTGCGGCGGTGGCCAAACCTGGCGCCTGGGTTCTACTCGAGCTAAGCTGACTGCGACTGGACTTTTCAGATGCCTCCAGATTACCCTCTGGAGGTCGAGTCACTCTTAGTCCCCGAGGTGACGGTTTTGGAGAAAGGAGACCAAGTGACCCCAGCCCCTGGAATCCTGAAGGGCTGTTGCATGCTTAGCCAGGGCCCTTAACTGCCTCTTGTCCTCTTCCTCTGCAAAATGGGCTGATGGCCTCTCCAGAGCGCAGCCTGGGGCACTGACACCTGTGGGTTCGTGTCTGGGGCCCTGCCTCTGCCAGACAGCTGTGGTTTGGGTCTGACCCCGTCCCTGACCAGCTGGATGACCCTTGGCGGGCCTCACCCTCTCATATCCTTTATGTCTTCAGATGAAAAACACAATCCTGGGACCTCAGTAGCTAGGCAAGAAGGGGCAGGAGAGTTTCTGGAGGAGCCCCCAGAGGTAACATGGCTTTCATTGTCTGATAAGACAAAGTGGCCTGTTCAGAAAGATTCCAACTGAGTGAAAGGGGCCTTCCGCTGCAGCTGAGTAGAGACCTAGTGGCCAGTACGCCCTTCTTGAGAAGCTGAAGGCAAAAAAGTTCAGTCACCTGAGGAATGATGGGTTTGAAACTTACGGCCTCTATCCGGTGCCCCCAATCTCAATGGAGGGGCAAGTCCTGGGGTGCTGCTCACGGAGATTACTAGCCTGGGCCTGGAGAAGGCCCCCTGTGGAGCAACCTGAGAAGCCTGCTTTGTGGTTGGGGGGAGGGGCACGGATTGTTTTGTGCTTTGCCACTCAGGACCCACCAGATCTTGATGTAAAAGGGGCAAGGTCGTTTCCAAGATGCCATGATGAGCGCCAGGATGAGTCAGCCTTGTATCGCTGTGTCCCCTTCCGACTGAGTTTTCTAGGGGAGAGAGTCTGGGCGTTGAGATAGGCCTGTAGGCAAAACTTTCCCAGGGAGCCAGGCTTCAGGCCAGCCCCTGCCCCCAGCGACAGTGTGGTGTCTTTGGGAGACTAGGCTGAGGGGCAGAGTGTTAAGAAAGGTGGGCTGACCAGATTTCAAAGCTCAATCCCGCGGCTACTGCTGGATGATTTGGAGCAAGTGTCTTTACCCCTCTAAACCCATTGTTCCTCTGGACAATGGAGTAGTAAGTGTGGCTACCTCACAAGACTGAAGTGAGGATTGAATAAGATGAGCCTGGGGGGGCCTCCCTGGTGGCGCAGCAGGTTGAACACAGCACTGTGAGATTGTAGCTTCTGCAGCGCCGGTTCGATTCCCGGCCGGCCAGGGAGATTCCCACATGGTGCAGCAGACCTCTCCTGTCTCGCCTGCCGCTCCCCTCAGCAGTGTATTTTGGTCCTTCTGCCTGCTCTGCTCCCCGCTCTGGCTCTGGTGAATTCTCTCACCCTCCCGTGCCTCCCAGTGCTTGTAAAAATAAATAAATCTTTAAAAAAAAAAAAAAGAGCCTGGGGGCCTAGTGTATACTGCCCCAAGAGTCATATGTGGTCTCCAAGAACTCAGGATCGTGGGAAGGACAAGGCCCAGAGTCCTAGTGACACCGATAAGGAACATGTCAGAAGCACCTCTCTAGAAAGCCGAAATCGTCTGGGTCGCTCATGTTTCCAGGAGCAGCTGCTCTGTGTTACAGCCACTAGAGGAACCGGACACACCTGTTCCCACCCATGCCCTGCATTTGGCTCCCAAGGAAAGGGGGTAGGGGCAGAGCCTGTGCTCTAAAGGGGCCTCTGAGGAGAATGTCTGGAGCATGGGAGCAAGTGAGTGTCCACCTCTGAGCATAGGCAGCTGCCAGGCTTGCTGCATGGCCAAGGGCTTCTGCTTCCATGTCTGAGGGGTTGTGACTAAAATAGAAGGCCCTAAAGCTTGGGTGGATGGGCTTTAGCCAAGGGAATATAAGACCACCTGGGGCTCCTGCAACACAGTGCCCCTTGCATATCTAGTCCTGCCTATACCCCTCTGTCTCCCTGAAACTCCTGCTTCAGGAGTGATGCAGGGAAGTTAGGGACAGGGAGGTGGTGGCTCATGATATTTCCTGGCTCTAGCCCAGGAAATATTACTAATTATGACAGGTGGGACGTATGAAGTTGGGTCCTCAGCCCAGTCTGGTCTCCTCTGACTGTCACTGTCACCACAGACGGGACATTCCCAGCGGGTGCAGTCGGCTGTGTGGCCCACGTTAAGCAGAATGGACTCTGGGGCCCCAAGGAGCCGGCTGAGGCACATGGCTCTTTAATCCTTCACAGTCAAGAATGCAGGGTGGAAGTTCTTCACATAGCACCTTCCATGTGACTTTTATTTTAAAGATTTATTTATGCATACAAGAGCTGAGATGCGGGGGGTGAGAGGATTCACCAGAGACAGAGTGGGGAGCAGAACAGGCAGACTGACTGAAATACGCTGCTGAGGGGAGCAGTGGGCGAGGCAGGAGAGGTCTGCTGCACCATATGGGCCACCTCCCTGGCCAGGATCGAACTCTTGCTGCAGTGGCTGAGCATTTTTTCATAGTGCTGCGTCTTAACCCCTTGCGCCACCAGCGAGGCCCCCCCATATGACTCTTGGCATTCTGTAAACTGGTACACTTTTCACTCCGCCTTTAAAAACAAGCAAACTAAAGGCCAACAAAAGGAGGCGAGGTCATAGCCAGTAGAGGGAGGTCTTGGTATAGTGTCTGTCACCACAAAGCCACGCCCTTTCCTCATTCACCTCACCGATTGCACAGATGGGGAAATTAAGGCAGATGAGCCCGGGGGCCCCCTCAGCCTCAGCCGGCTCCTTGGGGCCCCAGAGTCCATTCTGCTTAACGTGGGCCACGCAGCCGACTGCACCCGCTGGGAATGTCCTGTCTGTGGTGACCGTGACAGTCAGAGGAGACCAGACTGGGCTGACAACTGAGGAGGCAACTTCATACGTCCCACCTGTCATAATTAGCAATGTTCCCTGGCTAGAGCCAGCAAATGTCATTATGTGGGGTAGCAGGCAGCTGAAATCCAATTAGAGGGGCCTCACTCCATGGGCTGGGGCAGGTGTTTGGAACTGGCAGCCTGAGCAGCAGGAGTGCTACCCAAGAGTCCCCACCCCAGTAATGTTCCTAATCCCCAACCCCAGCTTCCAGTGGGTGAAAAGGGCCATCAGAACTTAGCGTGTGTCTGGTGGGGCTTATGAAAGCCTCGAGGAGGCAGGGGCTTACAACCCAGGTCACAGGTAGAGTTCCAGCCATGCTCTTTGCCCATTGCTAGCTCTGCCTTATCCCAGCCACGTAACCCTGGACAGGTAACTTCTTTGGGGTGAGGGCTGGCCTGGAGTTCGGCCATGTGTAGTGTTGCGTTCGTGTGGTTGAGTGGAGACTCCCAGGGTCGGGCCCCTGGAAAGTGCTTGGGAACCATTTGCAGCTGCTGTGATCTTCATCCTCCTCAAACTTGCATCTCCTTCCTCTAGACCTCCTGCCCCCTGAGGTCTGCAGTCTCCTGAACCCAGCAGCCATCTATGCCAACAATGAGATCAGCCTTCGCGATGTTGAAGTCTATGGCTTTGACTATGACTACACGCTGGCCCAGTACGCAGATGCACTGCACCCCGAGATCTTCAATGCTGCCCGTGACATCCTGATTGAGCACTACAAGGTATGGCTAGCTGGGCAGGGGTCCCAGCCCTGGAGTCCTAACCCCAGGCTGAGTAGTGGAGCTTACCTGGGAGGTGGCTGCCTACCCAGCAGTTCCAGCAGTGCCTCTGGCTCAGGCCTGGTCTGCTTTTCTCCCGACAGTACCCAGAAGGGATTCGAAAGTATGACTACAACCCTAGCTTTGCCATCCGTGGCCTCCACTATGACATTCAGAAGGTGAGTGATTACTCTTTCCGGCCTCTCCTGACTGGATGTGTATAGGGCTGCTTTTAACCAGCCCCCTTGCCTTACAGGAGGTTCTCATCTGTATACCCCACTGGCCTCAAAACGAGCTTCCTTTGGTTGTGCACATACATAATTCCCTTCGTACCACCCAGTTGGGGCTTCACCATGGGGGCTGGAGGAGGCTGGCTCAGGACTAATGGCAAACTCTCCTCACTGCCCATTCTGCTTCCCTGCTGCCCCCAGAGCCTTCTGATGAAGATCGATGCTTTCCATTACGTGCAGCTGGGGACAGCCTACAGGTCAGTGCTGACTCCGCCCGCACTTTTCCCAGCCTGCTGCTCCAGGTCCACACTGTGCTGCCTCACCCCACTGTCCCCGACCCTGCTCTGTGGCCTGGGCTCAGGACTGTTTTCAACTGATGGTCTGTCCACACAGGGGCCTCCAGCCTGTGCCGGATGATGAGGTGATCGATCTCTATGGAGGCACTCAGCACATCCCGCTGTATCAGATGAGTGGCTTCTACGGCAAGGTACTTGCTCTGTCTGCCGCTGCCCAGGGCAGCCCAGCTGAGCGATCTCCCTGTAGGTGCTCACTCCCTGGGCCTACACCCCAGCGGGCCCTCCCTGACCCACAAACTACACCCCGCTGCCAGTGTCCCAAGGCAGAGTCAGAGCTTTTGATCACCTAGGCTGGGGTGGTGGGGAGGGAGGGGTGACTACGATGGTCACCCCCACCCCCTCCCCCAGGGTCCCTCCATCAAGCAGTTCATGGACATCTTCTCGCTGCCTGAGATGGCGCTGCTGTCCTGCGTGGTGGACCACTTCCTGGGCCATGGCCTGGAGTTCGACCAGGCACACCTCTATAAGGATGTGACGGTGAGGAGACTGGATCTGCCTCTCAGGGTAGCGGGGAAGGTTTCCCACCGCACTGTTTCATACACCCCCACCCCCAGGATGCCATTCGAGATGTGCACGTGAAAGGCCTCATGTACCAGTGGATTGAGCAGGACATGGGTAAGGGAGGACAGTAACCCTGCTGTGGCCTGCCTGGCAGGGTGAGGGCTGGTCCTCATAGATCCCTCTTGCCCTTAGAGAAGTACATCCTGAAAGGGGAGGAGACATTTGCCGTCCTGAGCCGCCTGGTGGCCCATGGGAAACAGCTATTTCTCATCACCAATAGTCCTTTCAGTTTTGTGTAAGTTCCTGCCCCACTGTGGGGGTGGGGGGGAGGCCGAGGGGGCCCGGGGGGGGCAGCACAGAGGCCTGGGTGGGGGTGGGCAGGCCTGGAGCTCCCCTCAGACCACCTGCTACCTGTCCCACCTCTACCCAGGGACAAGGGAATGCGGCACATGGTGGGTCCTGACTGGCGTCAACTTTTTGATGTGGTTATCGTCCAGGCTGACAAGCCCAGCTTCTTCACTGACCGGCGCAAGTATGGGCCTGATGGGCAGTTGGGCTGGGGAGCTGGGGCTGAGGCTTCATCCCATCCTTTGCTGATACCCCTTTATGCTTGGGGTGGACACACTCCCACATGAGCAGATGGGTGTGCGGAGGAGGGTGTAGCCCATCTTGCCACAGACTGGAAATCAGTCCCTTCATCTCCACCCCACAGACCTTTCAGAAAACTTGATGAGAAGGGCTCGCTCCAGTGGGACCGAATCACCCGCCTGGAGAAGGGCAAGATCTATCGGCAGGTGAGAGCCATTTAAGTGGGAGTAGACCTGGTAGGGAGCAGGGGGGAGGGACAAACAGGGCCTAGCAAAGGCCCAGTCTGTGGAGAGGGCGAGGAAGTGACACAGCCGTCTAGGCACGGAGCAGCCCCCACACATCTGCTGTGGGTCCATTTCCTCACCATGTGGGCTTGGGTGCAAGGGCCCCCAGAATAGTTACCAGGGTGCAGGCCTCTTGGCCAGTCTGCCTCCATTTGAATTCTAGTTCCATTACTCTGTGACAGGGTTGTAGCAGAAGCCCTTAAATTGAGAATTCACTAAGCAATGGCACCATTGTTACTTGGGGCTGAGTACTCTGCTGCAGCCTAACAATCCTAGTTGGGGTCCCTGGGCTGAGCTGGCGGGAGTAGCTCACAGACCTCTGAGGAAGAGCCTCTTCCTGACTGGCTACATGACAGGGTTCCTTGTCCTGAGGGCCAGGAGGGCTATGAGCATGAGGTGATTAAGGCATTTGGCCCTGAATGGAATGTGGAAATCCTGCCTAAGCTGGGTTTCTTAGGGGTGGGAGTTCTGGAGGCTGGGAATAGTGGGGAGCCACAGGGCAGATACCGGACCTGCAGGCTGTCCTCCCACCCCTGCTGGTCCCCTGCTCTCTGTAACTGGGCTTTTAGCCCTCAACTCTGAGTGAAACGCCTTCGGCATCTTCACTAAGCCTGAAGGTCATGCACTTTTGTGGCGACATGTGACTTTCTCTTCCTTGGTAGCTTTTTTTTCTGCCTGATGTTCTGAAATCCCATTGTGTGGGATTAGGGTATAGGGTATAGGACCCTCATTGAATCTCCTCTTTCTTTGTGCTCGCTCCCATTTCCTGTTGTTGGACCGACCCTCAGACTCTACTCTGCCTCAGCACCTGCCCCTCAAGGTTGATTCTTTTGGTTCAGGGTGTATTCTCAGCATTCCACCTTCTGTTGCTGCCCTCTTCGGTGGACTCCCCGTTCCTCAGCCTCGCCACTCGAGCCTGTTTTATAGTGAACTCTTTCCCAACCACCTGTAGCTCCTGGCTGTCCTCGCCTGGGCTCTTGCGGGCACAGCTGCTCTAGCCACTCCATTTGGCTGGTGTCAATTCCCGCTTCTGGGCTGTGGGGTCCCGCGCTTCCTGCTCTGGGTTCCCTCCATTTGTTCTCCCCTGGGAGTGTCCCTCTCTTGTATTTGAGCCTGACTGAGTGTTCTCATCTTTTTTCCAGTTTTGGAGCAGGAGGGAGAGATGATCTCAAAGTAGGTCTGTCATTGGTTTGCCGAGTCCCTCTGGACTCAGGCTGGGGAGGCCAGGAAGGACTTCAGGGCCATGGGGTTGCTGCTCTAATTTGTTTCCCATAAAGACTGGACTCGATCCCTAGCCTGGGGTGAGGCCACAGGGAGGGGAAGCACAGGGCACCATGCCAGGCCTACAGGAGACCTTCCTTCAGTGGGCAGAACCCCCACTTCCTGAGTGTGATGGGGAGGTGATAAGGGCCAGAGCCTGGAGGAGGCAGTGAGGCCACGGGAAAGGGCAGCCCAGCATCCGGCTGGAGGGGCCTCGCTGCCTCTGGGAATTTGGGAGAACTGATGGATAACAAGGCCTGGGTCTAGCAGCCCCATGGAAACTTGGCATACTTGGCTCAGCGTTCTCCCTCTCTCCTCTCCCTAGGGAAACCTGTTTGATTTCCTGCGCCTGACAGAATGGCGTGGGCCCCGTGTGCTCTACTTTGGAGACCACCTCTACAGTGATCTGGCGGTAAGGGGGCAGGACTGGGCCATAGGGGGAGAAAGGAAGGAGGCAACCTCCCATCTAGCGCTGAAGAATTCCCACCGTCCCACCCTCCAGGATCTCATGCTGCGGCACGGCTGGCGCACAGGTGCCATCATCCCCGAGCTGGAGCGCGAGATCCGCATCATCAACACAGAGCAGTACATGCACTCGCTGACGTGGCAGCAGGCGCTCACAGGGCTGCTGGAGCGCATGCAGGTGCGGGGGTGGCTGGACTATCTGGCGAGGGACCGGGTCTGCCACCTAGCCACACCCAGTGTACATTTTGTCCCCCCAGACCTACCAGGATGCAGAGTCTCGGCAGGTGCTGGCTGCCTGGATAAAGGAGCGGCAGGAGCTAAGGTGGGCAGAGTGGGGCCAGGGCAGGAGTCCAGGCCCAGCCCCCTCCTGTGCCCTCCCTAAGCTCCCATGTCTCCCTCCCCAGGTGCATCACCAAGGCCCTGTTCAACGCTCAGTTTGGGAGCATCTTCCGCACTTTCCACAACCCCACCTACTTCTCCAGGCGTCTCGTGCGCTTCTCCGACGTCTACATGGCCTCCCTCAGCTGCCTGCTCAACTACCGTGTGGACTTCACCTTCTACCCGCGGCGCACACCCCTGCAGCACGAGGCACCACTCTGGATGGACCAGCTCTGCACCGGCTGCATGAAGACGCCATTCCTCAGTGACATGGCCCACATCCGCTGAAGGCACCTTTATTGTCTTGGAACAGGTCCAGCCCCTCCTGCCCCACCCACTCTGGGCATCTGTCCAGACAGGCAATAAAAGTGGTCTCTCCCCTGCTCGTGCCTTCACTTCAGCCACATCACTTGACAGAGAGAATCCTCTGGGTGTCAGGGAAGTCTTCCTCCAGGAGCGAGTCCTGTGGGAAGGACTGTTTGTGGCTGGACCAAGACCAGACCTGGGGTCCCCCTCCACGTCTACTCCCCAGACTCACATCAAAGGGCTCACAGAAGGCATCATTGCTGCCAAAGACAGGGTTGGGGACAGAGACCAGGGTTGGACTGGTCCCTTCCTGCCATGGGGAGAAGTCGTCCTCAGCATCATCTTCAGCCTGGGAAAAGAAGGGTGAGTAGTGAGGGGCCTCAAGCAAGATCCATGGGCCCAGGTCCCTGTCAACCCCACCTTACCTGGAAGGCAGAGAAGCCAAAACCTGTGGCCTTGCCTCGGGCACGAAGGTAGAAGGCGCCAGCCACCAGACCAAGCAGTCCTCCAGCCGCTACCACAGCCCCCACACCTGCTGCCACCTGTGGGGCCTCAGGTCTTACCACAGCCCGCTGCAAACAGAAAGGGTTGCAAGGACCTGGCCAAAGCTGTCTCCCTGCCCCTTGCTGTTCTGCCTCGCCCACGCCCATAACTCACAGGCTGTGGGGGTGCCAGGAGAGGATGAGCCAGAGCATGGATGATGCCATTGAAGGCCATGATGTCCCACACAATGACACGGCTGACCACAACTGCCCCCGGGGCCTGTCAGGAGACCAGAGTCAGGCCCAGTGGGTGAGTGAGGGCTGGTGCCAGCAGGGGAGAACAGTATCCTGACTTACCACAGGGGCCCAAGAACTATTGTCAGGGTCTGTATCACTTATAATGAGCCTGAGGCCTGAGTGGGCCGGGAGCAAGGTACCATGGCTGGCGTTGGTGCTCAGGAAGGTGATGTTGGAGGCGTGCAGCTCCAAGTCCGGGCCACTCAGTGTCTGTGGGCAAATCAAGGCCTACTGGCCTAGGCCAGCCAGAGAAGGCGGAGTCGTGCCCTGCTCTACCCACACACCCACTGGTTACCATGTTGTCCACAAAGCCTTCATTGACCGGTACGAAGAGTGTCTTATAGGTGCGCTCATCATTCAGGAAGTCCAAGAAGTCGAGACCCCGTGAGGTGGCATTGGCATAGCCCAGCAGCATCTGTGATGGTGGGGAGATAGGGCTGTGGGCAGGCTCCCTTCCCAGGGAACCCAACTGTCTCACATCCCCACTTCTGAGGCCAGGCTGCTCCATACACCATAGAAGGTGGAGAAGTTGGCAGTGGTGGCCAGTACATCGAGCAGCTTCCCATTGCACGTGCTGGTCCCATCACCCACGAAACCATCACGGCATCGGCAGGCCACATCTGCACGAAAGGCAGGTCAGTGGGTTGGTGGATTTGTGGGCAGGGCAGGGACTCGGGTATGGTGGGGTAAATGCACCTTGCACACGGTAGCAGTAGGCGTCCCAGTGCTCCGACTTGTTCTCACGGGTGCCCAGGCTGACTATGCCCACCCGACCGTCACCACAGTCTGGCGCAGGGAAAACAACCGGGTGTGCAGCAGAGCCGTTGGCCAGCCAGCCCACGAGGCACAGGTGGAAGCCCAGCTGTAGGGGCAGGAGGGGATGCTTAGACCCAAGGCCCAACTTGAAGGGCCCCACGGACTTGACTCCAGACTCCCAGGCTCTACGCACCTGCTGGGCAGCAGAGAGCTGAAGGAGTGAAGCAAGAACAGCTCCTTGAGCCCCACATGCCGCCTTGGCCTCTGAGAAGTTCAGGCCATAAGGGCCACTGGTGGCCTGGAGGTGGAAGACACCAGCCCGTTTCTCTGCAGAAGGGAGGGATGCGTGGTCAGCCGCCAGCCCCAAGGTAAAGCAGAGACACAGGAGTGGGCAGGGAACACACCCTGGAAGTGCAGGTCAGTGCACGTGGCATCTGCGTGACAGGGTGGCGGCTGGTCCAGGCAGCGGTCCACAGGTGGCTCTGACTCCTCCAGGCACTGCAGTCCATCACCCACGTAGCCAGCATGACACACACAGCGCCGTGTGTTCTGGGGGCAGGGTAGTAGATGGTGCCCTTTAGGGACTGGGGGAGCTATTCTGAGGGGCCTCCCTACCTGGCTGCTTTGCTCCCGCTTGCTTACTGGGCCGGTGTTCAGGCAGTCGGCGTGTTCACTACAGCCCCCTCGGTGGCCATCTGCGCATGGGTCACGGGCCCGGCAACTCCAGCCATCACCCTCATAGGCAGGCAGGCAGGTGCAGGTGACCACCGTGCCTACCTGGCTGCAGTTGGCATGCTCACTACAGCCACCACGCCCATCCTGGCATAGGTCTGCCACTGGGAGAGAGGAGAGTGGTTGATCCAGGTGACATGAGGGCGTGGGACATTCCCAATAATGTCCCCACGCACGTGCTCACCTGTGCACACTCGGCCGTCCCCTTCGTAGCCCAGGCTGCACTCGCAAACGTTCCCCACTCGGCACACAGCCTGGGGTGCACAGGGTGGGGTGCACACAGGCTGCAGCTCTGTCCCACAGGGCCCATGCCACAGATAACGTTAGTCGCTGCCCTCTGGGATGACCCCCTTCCATCCACCTTCAGTGCCCCCACTGAGTGTGCAGCTGGGGCATGCACTGGTGTGTGCAAGTGTATTCAAGGGTGCAGGGTGGGCATAAGCTTGAGGGCCACTCACCCAGCTGCACCTCACAGCGAGACCCCGTCCAACCCTCTTCACAGAAGCAAGAACCAGAACCCCCAAGGCCATCATCACAACGACCATGGGAGGTGCAGTGGCAGGCTGGGGAGAAGGACAGGCAGGATGGAGTTGGCACAGGGGACTGAGGGATTTGGGGAGCAGGGTAGAGTAAGTTGGGGCTCACCTTGGCAATGGGGCCCAAAAGCACCCGGAACGCAGAGTTCACATGCCGTCCCAGCAAACCCCAAACGGCATCTGCACTGCCCACTGCCACTCATGCCATCCATGCACACACCATGGTCACTGCAGGGGTTGCTGGCGCCACCGGGACAAGCTAGGCAATAGGATGGAAGAATTGAGGTACGGGTTGGGAGCTCTCAAGATCCTCAGCCCAAGCACACCATCCATGCCACTCATTGGCAGCCAAGCCTCCTCCAGAAGTAGCAGTCCCCCCCAAGTCCCACACATTTGAGAACCTTCAGGCCCCCACACCCCGGGGAACAACTAGCTCTCCCAGTACTCCCACAGGTCCTGCACTGTCCACGCTCACCCTCTTGCCTCTTGGTGCATTCTCCCCTGGTAAAATCCACTCACCCCCAGACCTGCCCCTGACCTCCTCAACATTTTTCTCAGTATAATGCCCAGAACTGCACCCTTAGCCACCTGAGGGGCCAAAGAAGCCAGTCAGCCGTATCTGCAACCTTGGAATGTTCTCACCTCGGCACTCGCTGCCATAGTGACCAGGGCAACAGCTGGGCTTCCAGGTGGTAGTGACACAATTGCGGTGACAGCCCCTGCCCAGGCCTTGGGGCTGGCCCCACAGGCTGTGTCGGGCCCAAACACCGCGTAGTGCCAAGGAGTGAAGTGGAGGGGACGTCCAGAACTTTGAGTAATAACGCCAGCAGGCCTCGGGGCTGCCCTGGGCCAAGAGGAGTCCGCTGCAAACAGTCTGAGCTTGGTGCCTGGGTCCTGCCCAACCCCTACCCAGCTCGCAGCCCCTTACCTGCTCCTGTGAGCCTTCAGGACAGGGTGGTTCCAGCCCACAGATGCTGCAAATTTTCTGGAAGGAATGGAGGTAAGGTCAGGTGGCTGGACAGGACAGGTGGGCATGGGTCCCTGCCCATTCCGCCTATGCTGATGGCCTCCCTCACCAGTGTCAGAGGTCGAGTCTCAAAGCGGTCACAGCGCGCACCAAGGCCAGGTGGCTCCAGTAGCTGGTCGATGCCATAGGCCAGGCCACCCTCAAAGGGCAGGTGCCTCTGCACAATGCGAGCATCATCCTCGCCCACCATGAGCTCACCCTGTAGGTGGAGGATATGGGGTACATGAGAGCTACAGGTGTACTGCAGCCCCCCATCCTTGTGAGCGTCCCTGTCTCCCTCGATGAAGCCTCAGACTCACCGGCCGGGCACGACTGCAAGAGAAGGAGATGGGGGTCCCATGCATGGTGCGGAGGGGGCCCAGGTTGGGCAGATCAGATGCGAAGGCCTGAGCAGATGGAACCACAGTTGGAACTGGGCAGAGGGGCTGGGTGGTAAGACAGTAGGGTCCAAGTCTGGGGGTACACCGACCTCAACATTGCGGATGACGTGACCCCGAAGAATGGCTGCCAGCTTGTCACGGTGGTCCTCATGGTACAGCCAGGCCTGACGGTCTGGAGACAGGGCTTGCAAGGCAGAATCCGTAGGCCACAGCATTGTGAGGGGCCGGTGGGACGAATCTCGAAGCAGAGGCAGGAGGCCAGCCACCTGGTTGGGCAGAACAGAAGTGTAGCAGCCACGGTCCAATCAGAAGACAGGTGGAGGGCCTCCCCTGGTGGCGCAGCGGTGAGCACAGCGGTTGAGCGGTTGCCTGCAGCCTCTGCAGCGCTGGTTCATTCCCCGGCCACTGGCGAGGGTCCCACACACACAAAAGAAGACAGGTGGAGAAGGGGACTGGGCAGCAGAAACCAAGACAGGACTGTGGGGACCCTCATGGCCTTTCCAATGGCCACACACTAGCCATCCCAGACAGCCATACATGGACACATGCAGGGATAGACTTGCACACACCTTGCTTGACTAGTCAGGTATGTGTCACATATTAGCACATCTGTGGACTCACTCTAGGAGGCTCATCAACACCAACACGGTCTGTGCACATGAGCGCACACAGAGGGGCTCACACAGGGACAGGTTTGCACACGGCTGGCGATGCATGGACAGGTGAGCATACACGCAGTTGCGCACAGCCAGCCCCCGCACGGACAGTACCTTCACAAGGCCGCTGAAGATCTTGTAACCGAAGCTCTCAGCAGCAGCGGTGACATTTCTCTGGGGAAAGATGTACTGAGCGTTGAGGCTCCCAGGT